CTGCCATAAAAAGAATAAATTTGAATTATTTGCATGAAAATGGATGCACCTTGAGGCCATATTCTTAAATGAAATAAATCAGACAAATAAGCATAAATATTCCATGGTTTCTTTTATATAAGAAACTTAAAACATAAATAAAAATCAAAAGATAGTAGGAAATATGGGCATAAATCTTCTGCTAAAGGGAAGGTGTCCAAAGGACAAAGCAAGAGTGTAAAGAGATGATAAAAATTAAGATGGGTCATGTGGATATACTAATTCCCACAAACAATGTAATTATTTCATAAAAGATAAAAATATGGAAAAATGTTTCAAAAAGAAGTTTCAGAACACTAATATGATTTACATATCTTAAATTATTAATATTATGCATTTATGTTTCAATTTAGCACAAAAGTTTGAAATGTTCTCAGTACATTTAAATATATATAATAATTCACATGGCACTGGATGTACGGATGGTAAAAAAAGAGAGTGTGAACATAGTGCTTTAGATTTATAAATTATCCGGGTGAAGATTTTATTGAAGAAATAGAAGCAGAGTACATTATACAAAATAGTATGAAGTTAGAAATGAGGAAAATCATGTAAAAAATTATTAGCTACATCACAACTTTAGAGACTATAAAAACATGTTTGAGCACCAAAGTAATTAAAAAGTATTTAAACTATACTCAGATATGATGAGTTCCAGCAAGAAGTTGGCAGGGAGCAATGATAAACACTATGAGGATGGAAATAAGGGTATGTAGGTGATAGTAGTTCAACCAAATGATCAAGAGAAAGCTTGAGTGGGTGCTGTATGTCAAAGATGATGAGAAAATGAATTCTCTACCTGTATTCAAAACATTCAGGTCACTGGGTGTGGTTTGTATCATTTTAGTTTATAAAAGTCTTTGTAACTCCTAATGAATATCATTACCTAGCGTCCAACTCAAAATTGAAGTTTCCAGATGCTTGGCAAAAGTTAAGTAAAACTGCACAATAAAACACAAAATAAAGGCATTTAAGAGAAGCATCAGTCATACTAAAATATACACATAAAAATAACCAGATTATTATTTACTTCATGTAACCATGAAAACTCTATAAAATTGTCATTTGAAAACATTTTGTGCTATTAAATATTGATGTACATATTACTCTACACTGACACATTGAGGGAAGTGATTATTCATACTATAGATCCATTTGAGTCAAGAGTTCATACAGCTAGGTCTACTGTCTTTGCTATTTTTAGACTATCTCAAGAAGTTTTTAATTATTTTATATTTTAGTTATTATTAACTTTTACATAAAGAATTGGTTTCATTAAGAGAAAATATTTAACATTTCTCCCCTTCAAGATATAGGGAATAAAATAATAAAGTTTGCTAGGCTCTAAAAATGCATGATTAAATTTAGAAACAACCTAACAACCCTTCCAGATTCAAACTATTTCTATTTGGGGGATCATAGCACAACAATGAAATTGATTTAAATCTTCTATTGTCAGACACATGCATACTGTCTCGGTCATATTTAACATGATATGACTTTCTGTGCAAAACAAGGCATAAAACAGTGTTCTTAGAAAATTATATAATAATATTGTTTCTGGGTAAAAATTCATATGACTTATTTTAATATAATTATAAGAAAATACTCAATTTCAGAAAAAGTCCAAAACCTAAAACCCAGCATTTTCTTATTTAACATAAAATAGTATCTGGAAAAACATGATTTAAAAGGTAGTTGTTATTATCAGTACAAAGAGCATAGGTAACATTTTATATAAAATCACTAGGAAAAAATATTCGTCTAGTTTGTTATGAAGTCTGATCATAAATATGGTGAATATTATACACATTTTAATTGTATTACAATAGAAGATATATTGTCATTAATCACCTAATTTATTTGCCATAACTCTTGACATTTCTGGAACAGTTCTACACATCCTTATGTATGAGTGTCTTTAGTTGCACTGTTAATGGCTTTGTCCCCGTCCTGAATTGATTCAAAATATTTGACTTTCATAGCCATATTGAATTTGGGGAAAATTAGAGGTGGTATGATGCCAGATCTGGTGAATGAGGTGAATAAGGAAAGAACAGGGTCGGGGATATAATTCAGTGGCACAAGCGCCTGCCTGCAAGTGCAATGTCCCGAGTGCGATTCCCACCACCAAAAAAAAAAAAAAGGAAAGAACATGTTTTCATAAGCCTGCCTTATTTGGATAGCACTCAACAGCAGCATTCAGTGTATTTTTTTTTTTGACTATACATAAAATCATGCAAGAAAAAGGACTTCCAGGACGTCTTTAAAAATACTAAAGGGAAGATGAATGTATTTAAAGCAATGCGGAATATTTTGAGGGGGGCTAATTGTAATGTGTCTTGTACCGTTACAATGTTTTAAATTTAAAACACTCACAATCTATTTTTATGGACCTTTGTAGAGTCCTGAGATAATAACATGATGTTGCATAAATATTGGAACTCATAGAATCTGAAAGAATTGTATGTAAAAACAATTTTTAAACAGTAAGCACTAAGTTTGATGGTGCACCTGAAAAAGTTGAAATTCTTGGAAAATTGGATTACTTAAATGATATCAAGCTATTCATTTTTATTTACAATTAAAATTTACTTCTTTTATAGCACCTGTAATAAACCTTAAACTATAATCATTGTAACACTCCATATATTTGAATGTATGTTGCCAAAAATCTGATATTTATATTTAAAAAACAATATATTTTTGACATGAAAATCATGCTTATAACATCATATAGCTGTGATGATTTTACAAACACATTGGCTTACAGGATATATGTGTAAACATGTGAAAATGTGTGTTTTGGGACTTTATACAGAAAACATAAAATTATATAGGTGCATTGACATAGAGGCTTATTCTTCTCATTACCTCCTGGAACAGGGAGAAATGAAGCAAAGGTAACAGCTGCCAGTTTGTTTGAAGCTATACTTTAGAGACTTGAATGGTCACATTTTAATTAATGACTATGTCCTGCATTTACTAGAAGGGCTATGAATTTATATATAATGCATTCATCATACTTTCACAGAAAATGAAAATCACCAGATAGTATAGAGAATACAATATATTCTGAAGAGCCAGGCAATTTGTCTACAAAGGGTGAAGAGTAGGTTGTGTACCCGGAGTTCAAACTTGTGCAATAGTCTGGACATGCTGCAAATGGCAGTGTTTCAATTACCAGGAATGTTTGCTTAGTGCAATCCATCTTTATGTCATTTAATTGTCTAAACTATAAACCCTTGGCTTTTAACTAAAGCAATTACATAAGTGTACCAGTGAAGGAACAAGCTGATGGTATGATTTTAGGAAAGGAACCAAGTGCTAAAAATATTATAGATATTTTTAATTAATGATAGGAGCAACTGAAGCAGCTTGTTTTAATGCTTTTATGTATAAGATTTTTAAAAACAAAACACCAACTCATCTACAGCTTTTTTATGTAATTGGACTCTAAAACTAATTTTGGTTAACCTCTCTTGGAGAGGCAATGTATATTGTAAGCAGACAAACTTCTCAAAAGTCATCTAATCCTACTCTCTACTCATTTTATAATAGATAACCTGTTCAAATCTGGAGAAAGCAGCTTTTTTTAAATGAAAATAATCACACACAGAGTGAAAAGACAACGTACAGAGTGGGGAAAAAAATTATAGCCAGTTGTCTCTTAGACAAAGGACTTATATCTAGAACATATAAATAAGAGAAAAAATCAGGCATCCCAAACTCAAAAACCCAATCCTAAAATGGGCATCTGAGATGAATACACACTTCTCAAATGAAGAAATACTAATGGCAAATAAATACATGAAAAAATGTTCCACATCACTGGTAACTTAGGAGATGCAAATGAAAACAATATGGTGATTCCATCTCACTCCAGAGAGAACAGCTATCATCAAGAAATCGACCAAAAACAAATTCTTGAGGGGTTATGGGGAAAAGGAACACTTTTACTGTTGGTGCGAGTGTAGACTGGTGCAACCACTGTGAAAATCTGTATGGAGATTTCTCAAAAACTAGGATGAGAGGTCCAGTTTGACCCAGCCATTCTCCTTCTGAGTATCTTCCAGAAGAACTAAAAGCACCATTCCACAGAGATATATGTGCACCCATGTGTATAGCAGCACAATTTGTCATAGGTAAATCTTTGAAACAACCCAAATGCCCATCAACAGAGGAATGGATTAAAAACTCAACTAAAATTAAAGTAAAAATATTTTGTTATATTGATTACTGGGAAAAAATTCTCAGCTAATAATTTTTGAATTAAAAACTGGGAATTGGCATCTGATTTGTCATAAATTAAATAAATCAAGAGTGTCTCAAAGAACTTTTCAGTCACAAATACCTGGAAATTGTAATCACCACATATTATGGAAGAGGACATTAGACCTGACATGGGTGCTATGAATGAGTAAAGTAATAAGATTCCATTTAGATCATCAAGTTTATTAGGAATTGTATATATGAAATTATGTCAAAAGGAATATTTTAAGATCCTGCTGTGTATATTTATGAATTTTCTTCATATGCAATTAAGAACCATGTAACTGCACTTTATCAACAAGACATTAGCACAAATGGACAAAAAAGAAGAGCTCAGAAATTTTTTTGTTCTTAGAATTATTAGATATGAAAATATTAAACAAAACAAAATGAGAAAAAATTGCTCACTGAATAACACACACACACACACACACACACACACACACACATACACCATAGTGTCCTGAAGATCAAGAAAACATTTCACGAAAAGTGGGATGAACTAGATCAACTGTTTCTCATAGGTCAGTTAGGGTGTGAATTTGGAACATACTGGTAGTCAGAACTGCTACAGTCTAAAACAAAAATGTTTGTCAAATACTGATGTGTTAAGAGCTTCATTCACAACTCGGTGCTATTGGGAGGTGGTAGAAACCCTAAGACAGAGAGAATCATCAAAAATCTTCTGATCACTGTGAGTGTGCCTTGAAGTGGTTAAGAGACCTTGCCCTCTCCTTTTCTCTTGCTCTTCCTTGCCATGAAGTGAATGATTTCTCAGCCACATATTCTCCACCATTACGTGCTGCCATACCACAAACCTACAAGACATGAGGATAAATGACCACAGACTGAATTCTCCTATGCCATGAGGAAAATAAACATTTCATGAAATAAGTTGATTATCACACATTTTTGTTAGAGTTTAGAGTGGTTGCAGAAGTATGATCAGAGTAGGTTTAAGAAATTATGGATGAACAGTAATTGGAATTAAACATATAGATAACCCCTTTTGAGGAACTTTACCACAAGTGAATGTACCAGTAATGAAATAATGATAGCTAGAAGCAAAGTAAAGTCATGGAAATATTGGCTGCTGTCGCTCTTAATATGGTAGGACTGGTGGCACTTTTGTATGCAATGAGAAAGACATAACACGCAGTCGTAAGATTTGATCATTTAAATAGCTAGAACACCACATATGCTAAAGAAGATTATTTTAATCCGCCACTCCTATTGAAATCAAAGCATTTATGTGAAAATCAGTGACTGTCACAATGGGAATTAAATCGTGAATTTCCCTTATTGATAATTTACACTGTTTATTACAGTAGAGTTCTTTCATATATCCATGTCACGATTTCCTCATGTGGCACTTACAGTTTTGTGTGACAACCAGTGAGCAAAATTCCATTCCCCTCATACTAGTGACTGTACCAGGTAAACTGCAGGTAAAATAATTAGAGCATGGTAGTATAGAATGAGTGTGCACCCCCACAAATTTACATATTGAAATTTTAACCCTAAGGAGATGGTAGTAACAAACGGAGATTAGGAAGGAGATTAGGGCATGAGAGTGGAACCCTCCTGGATGGGCTTAGTGGTTTCCTAAAAATAGAGGAGGGCTTGCTTTCTCTCTCTCTTTCCTACCAAGTAAGTATATAGTTCTCTGAACCAGGCCTTAAGTCCTTACTAGACACTGCATTTGTTGGTACTTTGACCTTGTAATACCCAGACTTGAAAATCGTAAGAACTAAAGATATATTGTTTAAACCACACAGTCTATGGTAACTTGCTATTGCAGGCTGAACATACTGAGGCAAACTTTGTCTTCCTGGCTAAAAGATTAAGTCAGTCATGTTTCATTCAGTGTAAAACTTGATCTTCACAGGATGGTCTGTTAATTTGAGACCTGTAATGCTGGAGCTATTTGTCAGAGTAAGACAAGCCAATCTGAAAGGAAAGTTTGAACAGGAGAATCACAAGCTTAGAGAATTTTAAACAATGATACAGCCTTGAGCAAATTGTAGCAGGAAAATTTAATTATATGAATCAACACATTCCTTATATTGTTTAAATAAGTTTGAATTGAGTTTTTATATTTCCTGGAATTAAAATCATCTTAAATTGGTGATGACCAATATGTGAACCTCAATTTAAATGAGGCTAATTAATAATTGTGCAGTGATGGTGATATTTTCTCAGTTTGAACTGCTAATTAAGCCCAAGATAACCAAATTTATGAACATTTTAGAAAAGGTTTTCTGATAGCAGACAAAGACACTGAGAAAAAGAAAGTTGCTCTTTGAGAATAAAAACACATGTGGAAAAAGGGAGATTACCTTCTCCTTAGGAAAACAGTAATTGGAGACAAGATGTACAGATCAAAAATCTCATTTTCTCATTTTATTTTATAACACTTTGTTTCTTGTGTATCTAAAGTGAAAAGTTCAAGTGGATCACTTGTGCTTCCATTCAAACTTTAATGTATCAGAAAATATAATGAATACACAATGTAAATGCACATTGCCAAGAACTATGAGATAACTGCGTTCACAGTGAGAAGGGATATTTTTAGGAGGATTAATGGCAATGTGTCATTTACTGAAATACCTATTTTTAAAAATTTAAACATTCACATTTAAATTTAAATTTTAAAAATTTAAACATTTGTTTGTGAGTTACCAATAGTTTTCACTAATAAGAATTTTTTTTCAAAATCTGTTACATGTTATAACTCAAGAATTTTAAGATGATCTTAGACATAAATAAAATGGATTCCAAATATTCAAATACCTTTCAGAGGACTGGCACTCAAACACTTGTTAATTATATAAATAATATGGAACTCGCACTGTGTGCTCAAATCGATGTTATGTGTGGAGCTGAAATCTGAAACACACACAGAAAACAAAACACCCCAAAAACTTACTGGAATGTTGCAGTCTTTTGTGATGTTGGACCTACCAACCATTAATGAACTATTATAAATGCTGTGCAGACTAGATTTTTTTTTTAAAGAAAACTCTTGGGCCATAACGGAAAGAAGACTTTCTTCTGCCTGAAAGTTCAGATTGATTTACTAGGATCTATAATGAAGATAAGACTTAAACACATGAGAAAAGCTACCAGTTGTCAAATCAGCAGAAAGACAAAATTTTTGTCATTAAACTGAACACTCCTTGAAACCAAGATGGTTCCTTGGTCATTAGTTTATCTCCCTGGTCCAATACTGCAATGGTCACATAGTAGACAACTGTTAATTTTGGGTTGAACACATATTTCTATGATGCAAACCACTATGATAAGTGGGGACAATCAGGGAAAACATGTGGGGCCCTGAGAGAGCTCGTAGAAGACTTTCAGTTGTTGTGTGTGTTGCTGCATGATAAACAGGAGCTAGACTAGAAAATATGGAACATTGTTTTATTAAAAAACATGTATGACAATGGTTATTCACAAATTGTCAGAAGAGGGAGTTCACACCGTGGAGATGTCTACAGAGAGAGATAATTTCTGCTATTTAATTATATAAGTAATAGGCATTGCAGAGTTTTGACAAAAATCATCAAAATGCTTCTTACAATAATTAGATAAAAAGGATATGATAGGTGAATTATAGCTGTAGAAAAGTTTAAAAGAAGGGAGACTATTTAGGAAATTGTTTTAAAAGGCCTGGGAAGAGGATAGTACTGCCTAAATTACACGCATGATACTGGATTGAAATAGAAGAGAGCCTCAGGAGTCTACCAACTTAATAAGTGGTAAAACAATTGGGTGTGATGATTTATTAGCTAGAGTGGACCTGACGAGATGGAGGTTTGAAGAGGACTTCCACACTTGCAGTTCACATAATTGAATGCATAGCTCAGCTATTCTTTACCTTGTCAGTGCAAGAAAAGGTGCATGTGAGTGAGAATTGAAATTCTGTTTGAAATTTGGGACATAAACCCCCAATCTGAAAGATCACAAAATGCAGGTTTTATGAACTACAGATGTTTTTGCAAATCCTGGAGTTGTTTTAACAGTGAATTGTGTTTGGCATGATAAGAATAAAGAAGTCTTAATGGACCCCTCTGTTTTGGGGAGTAGTTTTTGCACTAGACTAGACGCCCTAGAAATTCTGCAAAGTGATACAGGACATCTTTTCAATATGTACTCAAATCTTCAAACCTTTTCAATATGTACTTGCTTATGAGAACATTATCTTCAAAACCTTCCATCATCAGAAAATACAAAATGTCCTCCCTTTCATACTCAAATTTCTACTACTTTTAACAAAAAAGCCAAACTTCTCACTTTCTCTTACTCTTAGGATATTTCTCTTATTGTAGGAATTCATAAATCCAAAAATATCATCTTATCTTATAGAGTTTGTGTTTTTTGTTTTCTTTTTTTTTCCAGTACCAGGGATTGAACTCACAACCTTGCGCTTGCCGGGCAGACACTGTGCCACTGAGCTAAATCCCCAGCCCTTGGAGTTTGTGTTCTTATAAGTTAAAATAACAGAACTGAGTTAGGAATGGAAATGATAAGAAGTGGTTGTAAATATGTATTTTCTAATTGGTATGAGTAAGATATACTTTTTGTTACATAGTATAAAAGGATTAAATATCTAAATCACACTGTCCTAACAAAACTTCCAAATTATTTCTGCTCACCCTTTCCAATCAAATTTCCTAAAAAATACTATATAAAAATAAAGAACAGTTGATAGTTATTAATCTTGTCATTTCAGGGTATAACATCTATGGATATGCAAAATAATTTAAAATATATGCTTGATTATCTCAGTAATGTACAGCTATGATTTTGTTTTTATATCCAAAAACTTTAAAATATAATATGTCTATTCTTTGCTAATTATAAATTTAACAATGTTTAATTTTAAAAGAAATTTGTAAAATGCATAAGTATTTATGGTCACGTGAATAAAATATTTTCAATTCAAATTTTAAATATATAAGTTATATAATATGGATATATTCTATATATGCATAGATATAGATATGTATATTTATACATAGATATAGATATCCTTAGAAAGGACACATAATTATTGTTGATTTTATAAAATTTTCCAATATAAAAATATGATATCTTTATTTGTAAAATGTATAAAGAGTTTAAAATTTAAGGTAAATGCATGCAAAATATTTAATTATGATAGAAGTAGGGGCTGGGGATTTAGCTCAGCGGCACAGTGCCTGCCTGGCAAGCGCAATGTCGTGAGTTCGATTCCTGGTACCGGAAAAAACAAACAAACAAAACAAAACAAAACAAAACAGAACAAGAAGTAGTTAAACAGGAGTTGTATCATTTTGAAATTTAGAAGTGAGTTTATTCTTTCTAAATCTACACCATGTTGTGAACCATTTTCACTAACACTATTTGAGGATCTAAAGGTCAATGTTGCTGCCCTGTTCAGTTTTAGCCTCTATACGGTACCAACTCAGAGTGTACTGGTTATTACTGAATGATAAACTACTCAAAACTGAGTGCCTTAAATCCACAGTAGTTATTGTCTACAGGAGTTATAGATTAGGACTCAGAGTGATCTTATTTAAATCTCATGACTTTGAGTCTTTCATATTTTAGTCAACCCAAAAATTGACAGGAAGGAAGCACTCTGGGCCAACTCTTGTGTTGATGGGCTGGTTTCAGTTTTTCCTAAGTCATGTTGAGGTTTTAGCTACTCATATTCTTTGGTCTGGATGTCTCCCTGTGTTCCTTGGAATACAGACTCCAACTGGGACCTCTCACAACACAACAACGTTCCTCATCAGATAGCAAGAGATCAGGCTAGCATGACAAAAGTCAC